GAAAATAAAGCTCCGAAAAGCCCCGTCAGGATTCTTCGGAATTTTTCGGAGGTGGTTTTTGCTGGAGACTGTCCCATATAATATAATGGCAACCACCAAAAGACTAAAGTTGATTGTTTTGCCACTCTAACTGACGAATTCTTAAAGACAAACGGCATTGATATCTAGAAAAAGAGGAATTCTCAAAAAAATTTTTGATAATAATAAATATATATCACACACACACACACACACACACACACACACAAGAACCATGTATATCAGAAAATATATTTTGTTATTAATATTAATATTTTATTTATTCTGTATCCATTGACACAGTGGTTTCTTGATCTTGAGTAGAAGATGATTCACCATTATCATGATCATCGTCACCACCATCATCACCTGTATTTCTGGTAGTGGCAGTATCCAACAAATCCAAATATCGTTGTAATTTATCACCCTCTATAATTTCAAATTTTTGATCAGCACCAATTATACCAACTGAACAATTTAATGTTGTAAGTTCTTTATCTGATTGTAGTGTATCACGAAGTGCATGTAGACCATGTTTAACAAGTTCATCCAATGAGGCTTTGAGGAGAAGAAGAGAAAAGAGAAAGGAAAAAAAAAAGGAAAATTCAAGTTAAATAAATAAATATCATTTGTAGTTAGTAGTAATAGTGTAATAGTAAGTTACCATCATTAAAACATTCATAATTTTTTTCAAGATATGTTTTTGCAGATTGTGATCTTGCACCGATTGACATTGCGTAATATTCAAAGAAATTACCAGAAGGTGCGCATTCATATAAATGTGGACCAGTTTCCTAAAAAACGAACGAACAATTGATTGATTGATGTGTTAAATTTGTTAAATGAAATTTAAAATAATATTATCATAATTATCATATTAATATTTACATCATGTCCAACAACCAATAAACCAACACCATAAGGCCTTTTACCATAATTTTGAGTATTTATTTGAGCCTCTAAATAAATTAATAAATAAATTGTTTAAAGTTTTGAATTAACATTCTTTTTCACACACACACATGTGTGTTTATAGAATGCTTACTATCACCAATTGCAGAGACGATACGATAAATTGGTAAAGGACGATTATAAATCATTTTAGATTTCATTGCTTCAGTACGCATAAAATTACTATAAAAGATGACGACAAAGGGTAGTGATAAGAGATATGTAATAAATAAATAAATCAATCAATTGTAAAACAGAGGTTATAATAGATAGTAGTAATTAGTAGAAGTTCTAGTATTGATGCAAGAAAGTAACCTTAAAACCCTTGCATCTGAAGTTAGACCAGCTATTGCTATACCCATATGATCATCAATTCTAATGATTTTTTTTTGATAAGATGCCAATTCACCAGTAGATCTCTTTCAAATAAAAAAGGAGAATAGTAATGTTTTATTAGTGAATCAATTAAAAATTCAACTAAATTAATAAATAGTTTCAATTTATTAATAATCAATCAAACCATCCATTCATATCCCACTCAAATCCATTAATTAATACCTTTAATACTAATAGAACAGCATGAGTTTTAGATCTTAGGCCAACAGCAGCAGATCCTTGTTTTACAGCTTCTAAAGCATATTCTACTTGATGAATACGACCTTGAGGACTCCATGTAGAAATATCATTATCATATTGATTACGAAACTAATAAATAAAATTGGATAGAAAGAAGTTAGTAAAAGGCAGGTGATAGATAAGTGGAGTAAGCTTTAAATTAAAAAAATTTTTTTGACAAATAAATAATTTATTCATTATTATTTATTATTTTTTATTATTTATTATTATTCAAATTGTCAATTAATTAGACTTAATAATTAGTAACAGAAATAATTACCATTATTATTATTTTTTGATATTGAAAAGTCCAAAGAAATAATAAAAATCGAGATCAGAACAAAAATGAGCAATTACGTTGCAAAGAAATTTCAGGGTTAAATTATTAACTTTTGTTACACTAAATTGATTCCCTTAAATTGAATAAATGATAATGCTGTGGACAAAATAACCATTTGATTATTTGTATTTAATAATTTGTAATTATCATTACATGGTTGGATTAATTTCATGATCACAGAACATACCAAATTCAAATGTGATGGTAGTTTTGGATTGATTAAAAAAATTATATCAAAAAGACAAGTATAGATCATATGAATTATATTGTAGAAGTTGTAAAAAGATCTAGTACTGCAGGATTGTGTAAAACTCAATGTGAAGGTGGAAAAGGCATTCAATATTTTGATGTTAAATCTAGTTTGAAGGTTTATTTTAAGAAATTCAAAAAATTTCAACATTTTCTTTTGAAGATTTCATCAGAAAATTTTTAGAGGCATTCATTAAACAACGTTCCTGTTTTTTAACACCAAAAAAAGTGATAACCAACAGATCATATGCAAACAAACGGTATTGAAAATCAAAATGTTGTATAATGCATAGTATGCATTGCACAACGCAACAATATACTTACAGTATGCCAATCATCAATAACTATAAATAATTTAATTTGCATTTTATCAAGCAACGTGATGAAAGGTGTTAAGGTATTACATTATTTTTTAAAATGAGCACCATATAACTAAATAACAACAATAACAACAACAATATTATGCTTATTGCTGTTTCTGTAAAAGTTCAAAGCACTAATCAACAATGTTGGTATCAAGCTTTGGTGACAAATATTCCAGATCAAAAATTATTTCCAAGATGGCTTGAATCCATAGCATATTCAGAGCAGTTTGCTCATTATTAGGGAATGTTACCTTAATTATTTTTGCAACATAAGTGTCTGGTTGATTGATTATTATGTGGATCAACAATTCATCATATGTCATTTTAGCTTTAGCACCATTTTCCAATTATCATTAAAAGGTGAGGGATAAGAAATATAAAAGTGTTCCACAATGCTTGTTTCACATGATAAACATAATATCCTCACTTAGTACGAATTGCTGATAAAAGCTATGTAAAGAGAACACATTAAAAATTAAACATTAATATCATTAACTTCATCCTACCAATTATACATGTAATTATTTTCATAATAAATCTTTACAAAAAAAACTTTATAATACTTGCAATAAAACTATCTTCTAGTTTTCTTTTATTATTTCCACATAATCATTGGAAGTGCTTAAAGACTGGACCAGTTTTTTATTAACACAAAGAAGAAATTTTCTATTTGCCGTGTCACCATCTCCTTCCGAAATTCGCAAAGTTCATAATCTTC